TGATATGTTAAACGATGAAAAATTTCAATAACTTCATCTAAGCCCCGTTTGTAAAAAAATAATTTTTTCTCGTTTTTATTTTGAAATAATGAAGTATTATGTGTTACCTTGAAACGTTTTTCAAGTTTTTCGAATTGGACGACGATATGATTTTTTTTCGGATTTTATTTAGACATTTAACAGCCGGGAATTGTTTTCGAATTTTGATTCTTGGTGATTTTGGTTTTATCTGAAACTTAAATTTGACAACTGAATCACAATCAGGAGGTCAAAATTATAAAGAAAACATGTCACGAACGTAAATATCGGTTCAGGTTTAGTTTTCGCAAATTTTTACCAAAATGTCATTTTGAAAAAGTGGTCTTTACTTAGGCCCCTTTGAAAATAATGGAAGTTTGTTGCTTGTCGCTTGTTCAGAATTATTCAAGGAACAATCTTTCACCATCTTATTTTCTTGTTCTTAAAAAGACTGAGTGTATTGCCTACCAAAAAGCCTTAAATGAACTCTTTTGTAAAAAAAATCAGATTTTCGTGGCTAAGATTCCAATTCGAAAAATTTGAAAACCTTTTCAAGGTAAGACTTACTTCTTCATTATTTCAAAGTAAAAACAAGAAAAAATATTTCTTTTTTCAAACGGGGCTTTGATGAAGTTATTGAAATTTTTCACCGTTTTACATATCACCCTGTAGGAAATTTACTTGAAGAACTGTGGGCTTAATACCTATAGCATGAATTGCCAGAGGATGGGGTTAGTAGACATCACAAACCAAAATAAAATCGTTTAAGAAACAAAAAAGTTATGCCGTTTTGAAAAAGGACGAACTTTTTGGTCGCGACACATTGAGTGGTGCGCAGTTTAGTTGCTCGGTGCCTAGCAAATCTGGTGATAATTTAGAAAGAAAAATATTATTTAATTTAGGCTTTGCTGAACATTCCCCAAACCTTATCTGCATCCTTTACTTTTTATTACTATAAGTATATATTAAATAAACATTGGGTTTACTAATTTTGCATTGCAAAGTGGATAATGGTGTTAAGTAACATTTTTAATAATAAAAGACAAAAATATTGTAATTGTAAATAAAAATTAATTTGGCATTGCAATTAAAATATTTGTTGTCCTGATTTATTATTAAATATGTTAGGGGACATCCATTAATTACGTGAGATAAAAATAGGGGGGAGGGGTCTAGCAAAATCTCATGTTAAGGGGGGTCATTAAAAATCTCACGTCAACTTTTGGGTTTAAAGAATATGTATTATAATTCAAATTTGTCAAAAAAAAGTAATCAATTTTTATTTTTTGGGTTATCATGTTGTCCGCAAAAAAAGTTTAATGGCTAGAATTTCACGTGAGGGATAGGGTAGGGAGGGGTCTATCACATCTCACCAAATCTCACCAAGGGGGCGGTAGGGGTCCAAATTATCAGAAAAATGCCTCACGTTAGTAATGGAGCCCAGCAAAATCTCACCAAATCTTATAAGGAAGGAGGGGGTCATTTCAAATCCCACGCCAACTTTTGTGTTTAAAAATATGTATTATAATTTGTTAAAAAAATTAATAATATTTTTACATGTTGTCCGCAAAGAAAGTTTAATGGCTAAAATCTCATGTGAGGGATAGGGGGTCTACTATATCTCACCAAATCTCACGAAGGGGGAGGGGGATCCACAATATTGGAAAAATGCCTCACGTAATTAATGGATGTCCCCTTACTTCACCCTCTTGCCCCTTTAATTATAATATGCAATAATTGTTTTAAGTTAAATTCTGGAAATAACACATTAACCAAACTTTATTAATGTAAACTAATTGATAATTATAATCAGCTGGTCAGACGTCTTGTTTTGGACGCCTGAAGATAACAATAAACGGTCTGGGGTGGCTTTAATGTTTTGTAGTCTCCATATACCTACATCTTTTGGTATAATGGACGTGCAATATTATAGTCGCATACCATTGTCCTCAACGCCGTCGTTATACGCAAATTTACAACCCGGGTCGCAGCGTTCAAACAGCATTGCCCTTTCAAACGTTTGTACTAGGGCATGGGGAGAATGGCAATATGTTAAAGGAAGAGTAGCGAAAACACATATGATTTTAAATCAAAAATTAAAAATCTTATCAAAATCGGGTTGTCAACCCATTATAACATTGGAATTATTAGTTTCCAAACAAGAAGTACTATCCTAATGTTTATTCTTATGAATCTTCATATGTTATTAGATGCATTTGGGCTTGAATTTAAAGGGGAGGTCCAGAATTGACTACCACCAAAAAAATAGATTATACGGTTCCTTAATAAGCCATTTGCTGCATGCATGGTTGAATTGCATAATAAACTTGTGCTTTATCTTATAAGATATATATAGATGAAAAAATATAAACGAAGTTAAATTGTATTCAAACTTGATTTACTGAAGTTTTGAGAGTTTCCAACCAGTATGGCACGAAATTTTGAATACCTATGCCTTTATCTTTAATTTTGCAGATTTTTCCTATATTAAAATTTAATTATTAATAGCCACTAAAAAATTAATCCATTTTTAAGAGATACTATAATTGTTGATGCAGAGACAGTCCGAAAACATATATAGGCCAAACGGGAAGAAATTTAATAAACGAATTAAAGAAAAGATTCTCGATATGCTAACCATCTAATACAAGAGAACCACAAATTTGATGATAACTTTAGAATATTACATGTAGCCAATAAAGGTACCAAACTAAATCTTCTGGGGTCTTTGGAAATTAATAAACTAAAGAAAAAATCTGATATTTTTCTTAATGACCAAATTGAAACCAACTAAATTTATTTTTGAAGGTATATATACTTTTAGTACCAAAAAATAATATTTATTAATATTATAAAATTATATTCGATAAGACTTTTCAAAACCTTAGTTTTTCCAAAATTGTGTAAGTTTTATTAATACCTTCAGGTATAATGTTTATACAACACTTAATTTCTCAAATTACCTGCCATTAGCTAATATAAATACCGCCAATTAATAAAAAAAATATGTACTAATTCTGAAGAAGCTGCTGTGTAGCGAAACAATTGTTAATCATTTAAAAAACATAAATAACATAGTGAAACTTTAAAACAGTGGTGTTTTTATTCATATATTGATACTAAAATTCCCCTTATGTTAAAGTTCACAAGACACACTAAATAAATAGTTTACTTGCAATATTTTTGAAAATTAACCCATCTAGCGCCTAATAACTTAATATTAGGTGGCTGAAATTGACGTGGAGCAGTTTAAAAAATAACATTGTTAACCTTTAATAACACTCAACATTCCACCCTTAATATTGACATAAAATAAATTCCCGAGAACAAAACCAAGACACTGCTGGCTAAAGGTAAAGTAAAAAACATGGACCAAAAAAGTGCAAATAATGTTCTTTTGTCCCATACTTACGTGGAATTGAGTCATTATACGCTTGAAAACAATAAACCAAAGTAAGCTAGTTAAAAATTTAAATATTGTTTCACTACCTACTTAAATAATGAAAAATTGTTACACTAATTGAACAATTTTTTAGTGAATTTTAGATTTTTTAGGTTGTTTAAGCCAAGCATAAGTTTAAGCTTAAGCTTATCCTAAGCTTAAACTAAATTTAAGCCTAAGTTTAAGCCTTAACCTAACTACGATTTGATTGTGGGACAAAATAAAATGTGGAACTCGTGGAAAATGGCCAATTCTGCATTTTTATTTATTTATAGAACACAAAATAGTAATAACATGTAAAGGCAATAAAGTATAAAAATGACTAACTAAACTAAAACTAATAACAAGTAATAATTAATGGTCATCATGAACAACCTGGTACACATTTAATAACTAAATAATACTTATTTCAACTTAATTCATTTGGGGTTGCATTTACGATATCTGTCTGGGCCATGCTGCTACCTCATTTGCTTCAGCCATCATACGGTTAAAAGAAGATATACTGTTATTAGGTTCTACACTAAAAAGTAGGCCTAAGATTAACCCATCTTTAACAGTGGTGCGATTAATACATTTATTCTAATAAAATTGACATCCTGTTGCTTTCAAGAGATTTAAACTCAAAACTCTCAAGCATATATGCTATACTCTTGTATGAGATCATGTATTGATACGTATTATTATATATAAATATTGTAGAAACCGTTTTTGGACTTTTTCTATTTGATAAATGTGTATTCATTCCGATGGCATCCATATTTGTAAGATGCGGTCTTCCTAAAGAAATATTCAATCTTACTATAGTGGGCCACGCCCGCCTCGCTCGCGCGTCAAACAAATGCTCTTCAGAATCGACCATTTTCTTCACTCGTTGCACAATAAACTATTTATTTTAATTGCATAAAAATTCGCTTAAAAAGTTCATATTAAACAGGTAATAATATTATCCTTTCTAGACTATAGTCACTTCCCCATTGTTACCAATATAAGAAGTAAAATTAAATCTCTGGTATAAAATTGTTCTTTCTTCTTATACAAAAAAAAATATAAAAAAGTTTTAAAGCATAAAGGTGAAAATTAACAGAAATATCACTTGAGCCCATTTGCTTGTAACTTTTATCTTAAGGTTCTTAAACAATTATTTTGGGTACTCCTTTTTATGTCATTATTAAAATATTTTATTGGGTGAATTCCAATAGAGATTGTGCTTCTATAAATCTACTTATTTTACCATGTAAATAAGAGCTTTCTGGTTTAATATCGGTTTAAATGGAGTATACAAGGAGGATTTTATGCTGAATAAACTGCACTATTGAGTGGGTATAACTCGACAAATCTTCCTTTGAAAGTCAAATTGAAAGAATTCTCAAATGGAAGAGGGGTAATAGTAATAACTTAATAAAACATATTTTTTGGCCTATTATAATTTATACTTGAAATCTAGTAGAGCAGAAAACTTGGGAACAACTTTACAAACGACGATTGTCGTAAAAGTGAAAATAAAAGGCTTGTGATAACTTGTTGCTTTTTGTTTCAGCCAGTGCCGTACCGTCAGGCACCATTGCGTCGCCGTGGACACCAGTGACGGGCCCGCCGGCCGATTCAAATGGTGCGGGTCCGGATACAAAAAATCTCGACGTTGGTGACATTAGTGACGTAAGTAATCTAAATACACCTTGTCCAAAATTATCTGTTCACCATTGCTACCATTCTAACTCATTTATTATTAGAGCTACAAAGTCGGTTAAATTAGCATATTTGTGGCATTTTTTTGTGATTTAAATAGTGAAAACAAAAAAAAACAATTGACGTCGGGTTTCCGAAAAATTCAAAAAATAACAAAGTTCAAATGCTTATTAATTGTTTATTTTTAAGTTTAGGGTAGCTACATATGCAATAATAATTTTTTGTTCCAAATTAAATTGTCTCTTAAAATATGTTCCATTTAAAAAAATGTTATTTTTGTGAATATATCTGAAACCCGACGTTTAATTGTTTTTCGGTTTTCACCATTTTAATCAGAATTAAAAATGCCACCAAATTGCAAATTTAACCTACTTTGTAGCTCCAATTAACACGAAATTAGCAATGGTGAGCAGATCATAAAATAAAGTTATTTGTGTACCAAGGCCAAAACATGACTTTTTTCTGGACGAGTCTGATTTTAATGGCCGAGGCCGATAGTCGAGCGTAGAAGGAAGACGAGGACAAAATAACACTTTTTGGCAGTGGTATACACAAAATTTTCTAGGCGAGCCTCATAATCATTTATTAACGTAATTATCTATATAACAGTGTTGAAAAGTGTTATTAAGAAACGGCCGAAAAATTAACTTTTTCAGCCGCTTATGGAAGAGTCTCTGCACATAAAAGTGCCCGTTATTTTCCAAGTCCATTTTTTTTACTTGGGTATCATCTAAATTATTTGTTTACACTCTAAAAAAACATATTTTCCTTTTAAAATGAAATTTTTATGACAAAAAAAATGCATAACTCACCAATAAATAGACATTTAAAAATATATAAGAACTATTTTTGTAGAAAATGTTACGCTTTACAAAGGTATTTTTTGTTTCGTAAAATCATCGATTTAAATGAATAGTAGTAAGTTTTATAAGTGGATTTTTTTTACTTGGGTATCACCAAATTATTTTTTTACAGTCCAATAATAATTTAGAAAAAAAAATTGTTTATCCTGCCTAAAGGATGGTACAAGTAAAAGTTTTTAATTTTTAATTATTTTATATATTTTAAACTTTTATAACATCGATATAATTTCAATTGATTGATGGTTTATAAAAAAACATAAAAGACCTTTTTTGTAAATCGTACAATTTCCTACAAAAAAGTATCTTGTGTATTGTGACATGTTTATTAATAAGCGAGTTATGAAGTTTTTATTATCTAAAAAACAATATAGTATATTTTTTTAAATTATATCAAACATTGTCCTCCGATATTATTAAACTTAATGAGTTTACAAAAAAATCGTAAAAGACTTTTTTTGTAAAACGTAAAATTTACTACAAAAATATTTCTTCTGCATTGTTGCGTGTCTAATAACTAGCGAGTTATGAATATTTTCTTATGTCATTAAAATGTCATTTAGGCAGGGTTAACGACATTGGAAAAAAATATTTTTTTTTCAAAATTGTTTTTAAACTAAACATAGTATATTACACTACAAGGGCAGAAAGTGTGAGATTCCTGCACTGCGCGCCATGATGCCCGAGGCGAAGCCGAGGGCATCATGGCGCGCAGTTCAGGACTCTCACACTTTCTGCCCGTGTAGTGTATACTATTTTTCTTACTACCCTGCAGAAAATACGGGAAAAAATTAAATGTATATAAAAAAATTTGTGTCAAAATTAAAATCTGACGTTTAATTTAATTCTGACGTTTACATTCAAAATCAATCAAACTGTAGCGTTGTCATGGTAATTCAGCGGTGCCAATACAGTAAAAATAAAAGGTTGTATTTTAATTAACAAATTACTACTTTATAACAAATAAAAGTACCATTAAACACTTAAAACAACATAAAAAGTAAAAAAGTAAAAACATAAATTGTTTATTTGTTGTTATAATTGCAAAATTATGGTTTAAAACTGTCATATTTTTGTGTTTCTCATGTTGGCAGTACGAAATTTAAATGTTAAGCACGCGACTAAAAAATTTTTACTCCCGCTATTAGAGTGTGCGCGTATAGCTTGACCAATGCAAGAAACGTAAACTTTCTGCCGTGAAATCGGGGACGAAACAACGTATTTTGAGTCGAGGTAGTAAGAAAAATAATTTAGATAATACCCAAGTAAAACAAACAAATTGTAAAATAAAGGACACCATACATTGAAATAGATACTATAGAAGAATTAAACTTATATTTCAATTTTATTTCTCTGCTTTCGATTTTACACGACTCATAAGTTTTAATTTTTCTCACCATTTTTTAATTTCAAAATTAAAATAATTTTAAAAAGTCAACTAAAATTTAAAAATAACTTAACTAAACTATGGATGAATGCAGGATGAAAAGGACATGACAGCGGCCGATGCGGAAGGAGTATGGAGTCCGGATATAGAACAAAGTTTTCAGGAAGCATTGGCGATATATCCACCGTGCGGTCGACGAAAAATAATATTGTCAGACGAAGGGAAAATGTATGGTAAGTGCCTATTTTTTGTTCTAAAATATATTAACCAATGACACACAGGTTATTAAACCTAAAGTTTTAATGATATTTAATAATAAGTCCAAAAAACAAAACAAAATGAACATGATGATTTTATAAATAAGTTTTATATTTTTAAGTTTCAAAAGGGTACCTACTTTATATTTTTAGTCCACTTTATTGTTTTATTTACTATATAAGCAAATATCGCAATATCAAAATTCTGTATTTTGGTTAAACTGCCCGAAAAGTATTAATAGGCGACCGAAGTCCTAATACTAATCGGCCATCCCAAGCGTAACGGATGGGATAGTTGCAAGTTTTTATTTACAAAATAACATTGTTCTATTATATTACTAATGTCAAATTTTTATAAATAGTTCTAAACAAAAGCTGTTTAACAAGGTTTTTATCTGTCAAAATTAGGTATCGTGGTTGACTGTTTAATTCCTTAAAAATTATTTATTTTAATTGAAGGGGTAAGAAGCAAAAAGGTACAAGTGTATTTTAACATGAAAATAAGTTAAGTGCAAATTGTACGAATTTTCTATGTTGATTAATACAAACATTAAAACAAGTATCTATAGATTTTTGTATATTGCAAAAATTTTTGTTATTAACTACACTTCTCTTTTTGCACTGGTCCATTTTGCTTCTTACCCTTTAAATTTTTCTTTAAACTTTGCCAAATACAAAAAATAGTATTTTCTCGTAGGAAAAAATTATATCTTATGCCATTAGTTCTTTAATATACTATTCTCACACGTTGAGACGCCGAAACTAAGTACCTATATTCATTTAAGCAAAAAATATTTGTCATTTTTTTATTGTTGTTAATTTTTTAAATTGTTTTGATGGGTCATTTGCTTACATAGATATGCTATAGTTTGCATATAGTAAAATGTTACCTTATAAAAAACACTATTCATTCCATGAGAATTTATGTGAACGCGACTTTGGCTGTAAAAAATCCTGGAATATTCGTTTGGATACGCGTTTTATTTTAATTAAGTGGTGGAAATCGCTTCGGTATTCCTTTGGGAATTTCTTAAAAATAGTTTTGGCGCCGGAGTGCGCGACGTTTTAGTTTGCGGTGCAGGGCGCAAGGCCGTCCAAGATATTGACCGTGCCTCGTCCTCTTGTCCACCACTGTCCGTCCGTTGGGCGGACAGTGGTGGAAACGTTCAGAAAGCGTTCCGAAGATGGGACGCAATGTGATTTAAATTTATCAGTTATTTTTATTAAATACTAAAAAGTTCCATTCTTTGATTAAAATTAGTATATATATACAATGTATATAAATTAAAGACGTCGGGAGTAAAAGCTGTCGTGTCACAAGCTTTTTGTTTTTGTAAAAAAAATGTTACGCTATTTTTAACGGTTTAAAGTTAATATATTAATCGGTTTTTATTTTTTTTGTTGTTTCTAGTTACATTAATTTTTAGGAAGAACTGTATAAAAAAATTAAAAACGAAGATTAAAAAATAGCGTAAAATATTTTTTTTTCTCAAAACAATACATGTTTTACATTTTTATATGGGGGTCCTGGGCTAACCTCAAAAAATATACTGCATTTAAAATTTGATTAATTTATTAGTTAAAATGATAAAAATAAAAAGAACTAAACATACCTTAATGAACATGATTTATTAAAATTGCTATGATCTTATAAACAACTATATTATTGAAAAGAATACAAAGTTGATATTGAAGTCTGTTTCTAAAAATGCAAATATGAGTATAACAATTTTAAGAATAACATCGTAATTTTAAGTAATCACGTTAAAAAATGCAAAATGTAAGATAACAAAAAGGAATGTAATGAACAAGCAAAATTTACTTAACCTAAACATACATAAATTATGTAACATAATTTATTATTTACTTCAAATACAGAACTTTTCCATACAACCCAACTATAACGAAAGTGTTAGTTGTCACATAATCTTAATGGCTAATTAGTTTACGCCTACACTTCGTACTAATAAAGGTACTTATATTATATTTATAATTTTGTTGAGCCTGTCTTCTAACATGGAGGTTTGAAGCCTGTTCATGATCAAGTTCAATTTTGAAAATGACTTTTATCCATTGCTTTCTGCTGTTTGTGAACATAATTGACAGGTACATTCTTAAGGCAATCTTAATGTAAGCAAAACATTCTTTAAAGTTTTTTCCTGACATTTTTGTCGTCATTTTTTTCAAACTTATTGTAAACAGCAACGCCTTCTAGAATTGTCTCCCTTGCTCCCGTATGCGCTCCGTGTTTTCTGTCGCCTTCGCGAAACTTCTGGTTGGCAGAAAGTGGGAGATATTTTTGTCATATTGGTCAACACCTAAACATCACATTAAGTAAAACCAAATGCAAATTGTACATATCGCTTCAAAATGACTTTTATGTAGCTAAACTTGCAAATTAAATCAGTGCAGGACGCAGAAGTCCAGTAGCCAACCGCCCCCGTTTCCCCTGCCCTCATATGCCTCCTCATCAGAGAGGAACAGAATTCGCCAGGGGCTGAATCAAATACTATCAACAACGATGGGAATTCCGATATGCATAAAATTGTTGATCCTAGTTAACATAAAGCCAATTAAGTAATTCGCTTCAAATTCAAATAAAACAATAATGATACTGATCTTTTGTGGTTTGTTTACTTTTTAATAACGTTCTAGTTTTAAGTCTAGTCCTTTTTTGTTTAGTGGCTAAAACAAAGAAACAAAAGTTTTTAATTTTGACATATTTTAAATATTAAAAACAATTTACAATTAAACGATTTACGAGACAATATACATGTATTTTTTTTAATATTGTTTATATTTTAATATTTAAACAACAAATCGTTTGTTCAATTTTCATGAAATAATTTATGAACTTTTATTTATATTCATATATTTAATATTTTCAAAAAATTTGTAATGCAATTTTATAAACAAACAATAAGATGCAATCAGTTAAAAGTTTTAAATTGAAACCAGATAAATCAATTTTAAACAACTAATTTGATTTAATTGACTCGCCATTTATTTAAAAATTGCAATCAAAATTGATTTATTATGAACTATGCGTATTGAGTTAATAGTAAAAATCCTTTAATGTGGACAGTAGCGCGTCTATTCACTTCCTTCGTTTTAGAAATTGATTGGTGGTTTCCAGACAGAAATACCCCACAAGAAAAAGTCGCACGGCGTTAGATAACGCGATCTTGGTGAAAAATGATGGTCATTTTACATTTTAAAACAACTTTTAAAATAGTATGATTACACATATTTGCCATTATCTGTGCATACATTGTCGGTTTTGTCCACCCCTTCTAAAATGGGAGTCTGTCTGTTTTCAGGAACGAGGAAGGACGACATTGTTTCTTGTGACGTGCAGGAAATTCAAACAGCAGAACGTAATATTACGACGATTTCACACATTACACCCTTGGCTCTTTACTTCCGGCCAAGCGTGAACCAATAACTTTGTCGGACGCAATTTGTTTTACCATTTAAATTGCCCTTGTCTTTTTCCCTTTTTTTCTTTATGTGACGTTTAAGGATGAATTACCATGAATCCTTTGTTCAATTCGCACTTTTATGTATGTTTTTTAGTTTAGAAATGTCTTTATTTTTTGCACAAAAGTTTTAAACTTAAATTTGTTTTTCATTTAATAATTAATAATAATTATTCCGCAAGAAATTTAATTATTGAAATTTCAAGACGCGTTGATGCATTATTAAGTAACAGAGGTTCAAATACCGAATAATAATTTGTTTTTGTATTAATCTATTTTTAATTTTTCTTTAAAGTTTAATTTTAAATAAAATTAATGCATGGTATTTTCTTGTAAGCGTTTCATTAATATTTACCAGTAGGCTTTTAAAACTTTGAAACAATTAACATAATCTTAATAATTGGGTGTGTAAGACTTTTGAAAGTGAGTGTATATACAGGGTGTTTCACCTTCCTGTTCCATTAGAAGTTTCTGGGGAAATCCATTTAAGTCTATTTTTCTGCCACGTCCGGTTTAACCGGAAGTGACATCAACTTTGATATTTTAAATAAAACACCCCATATATTTTTACATTTTTAAATTTCAAATAAAATTCTGAGTAAAATTACCATATCATGTCCTATACCTAAAGTGAATAGTTTTTAAGTTATTAATTTCTTTAGTTAAAATTTGACAAATGCGCGACAATCAAAAATAACCTATAACTTTTTTTTATTAGGTTTGCGAATATGGGGGAATTTTTGGATTTTTAAAACATTGTTTAAATTATTCTTTGTCAATTCTTTAACATTTTTTAACAAATTACCTAAGAAAACCTAGGGCAAATTAGGCTAGCTTAAACACCCGGTATGTTTTTAAATAATCATGTAGTAAATTAAGAAACCTCTCGATTAATGTAACTATTCCCTATACTTAAAGTTTATAATTTATGAGATATTTAACAATTTTTAAAGTTTTAAATATTATTTTGTATTTTGTCACCTGTGATTTGACGGACGTAATCTGTCATTGTTGAAAATCTAATGGCGTCAATTTTTCAGGTCGTTATAACTGTAACAATTTAATAAACCAACAATATTTTTGCCAAGAAGAGGAACATTTAATGTAGAATTAAGAATTAAGAAATGCTTGAATGTAAATAAATGACACTTTAAACATTTAGTAATAAATTAGTAATAAAAATTGTTAATTAAAATTTTGTTGGTTTATTTATATTTTGTTGTTCCCAATGAGCTAGTGCTTTATCTAGTTGACATCCTACAGCTTTGTTGAGTTTTTTTCAAAATGAGAATATACTGTTTTATTTGAATAACTTTTAAATTTTTAAAATTTTGGCGTGTCTATGTTTTTGAGAAGTCACTGACTGCTATTTTTTCAGTAATTTTGTTTACAAAACACTTAATCAATTAACAAATTGTTTTTAACAACCTGAAAAATTGACACCACCAAATTTTGAACAATGACAGATTACCATAGATACCGTCCCAGGTTTCTTGA